TAATTACTTTGTGGTCATAATATTATTATTGTGTTTAAAGTTGTATCGATGATTTGATGTGTAGGTATGAAGAATCAAATTTTTTTCAAAATAGTATGTATATTATAAACAAATTACTAAAGCCAATAAAAAAATTTGAGAAACTCAATATTTCACGTGTGGTAAAGTAAACATTTGCTCACAATTATTATCTTGAAATAATAATGCGACACGAGATAAATATTATAATATTATATATTGTTATGGTTTGCGATCAACTGATTAAAATATATCCTTTATACCTTACTAATGACTATTAGGGGAGATTTTTGAATACTACTGAGAACGTCATAATAAATAATAATACACTGTACGCTCTCTCCTCACTCTATCTGTCTTTCTCTCACTCTCTCTCTCTCTCTATATATATATATATATATTATATAATAGTTGCATACGTATATGCGTGTTGTGTTGGTGTTTATCCGTACTATTCGTATATTGCGTGGCAGTAATTTTACAGCAGTTATTGGGTAAAAAAAATTAAAATAAAATAAATATAATATATTATACCAAAAATTGGTTGCCCACACACACGTTCGCAATCCAACTTGATAGGTACTGCACATACAACGTGTTATTTATACGGTGTCATTCATTCATATTATCATATTCCAATGAAAATGTTTTCAATAAATATCCTTATTCAAAATTGTTATATTATACTTGTATGTGAATATATATGTGTATATTATAATAAATACATTTTTAGTTTATTACAACTTTTTTATAGCATGACATAATAAATGTATAATAGGTTTTAAATTGTTTTAATGATGTACCCTATTTACTTAAATAGTTTAAATTTCACCGTTAATTATTATTTTATCGATCAGAATACATTTTTTAAATGCTTATGTTTAAAACATATCGAATCATTTATGAAAGAAAAGTTTTTTTTTAATTTATAAAGGTTTTTAGCGATGTCATAGTACCATGGATTTGTGGTGTATAATTAACTCAACAAAATCTATAAATGCTAATACATGAAAACAATTAAAACGATTATTCAAAGCATTGAAGTCAGGTGTCTTATCTCGTATATGCAATTAAAATTTGGAAAAAAAACCCTAGAAAACAGTATTGATAGATTTGATTTAAAAAAATATATGCATAGTGTATGCGTATGACATGTACGTATTTCACGGAGCTTTGAGTCTGTGAATATATAATATTATTTGTTTCAATACACTTGACGGCTGCCGAAGAGATATCGGAAAAAATGTCGACGAGCCAATATTATTATTTTTATTGTAACGACGTCGCGTGAACAATCCCAACGGACGGCGACGGTGGCGGCTGTAGCTATGACTAACAATTTCCATATAATATACACATCTCCGTTGTGTTACACTATTAAATTATCGTTTGGCACGACCATTCTTATTGTACAATATGCGATGACGAAACGTAATAATTTAGTGACGCGCGCCCGAGCGCGACGCGACGGTTGGTTTAACTCGATAACCGAACGTCGTCCAAATGTATAGTAGTCGTGTGTATATTATAATATAGCGTATTATATTGTGCTTATATATTACAAGACTGCATAGTAGAATAATCGTTATCATCGCATTGTTATTCGCCCGTCGAAATGGAGTGTGTGTTTGACGACCTATATAGTCGGTTTTTAACGAAATTGGCTTGTAATCGAATTATGTATTTATGTTTTGTTTATGTACATTATACGCTAATATTAAGATATACTCCTATTTGTTTTTTTTTTTTTTTTTTTTTTACTGCGATGAAATAGTCAATAGGCTTGTCATCGTTGTTAGATGTTTTTTTTTTTTTTTTTTTTATAGTTATAGTGCAGTTCAATAAATAGTCGGGCTAAATAAAAATCCTATTTGGAGTGTAAAGAATCTATAAATCCTAACCAAAATTGTGTTATGTATATTTTAAGATTTTCGCTTATTACAGCGTATTTACACATTATTTGAATTTTTGGCGTTTTTTCTTCGACTATTCTACAAAATAAATCAATTGTTCATTAAATAAAATTTAAAAACTAATGTTATGTATGTTTGGGGCATACGGCGAATGATATTTTTGATTTTGAACGTACGACTAATTGTTTATTTTTATTTAATGAGTTAAACGCCAAAATTTGTGTTACACTAAACAAAACTCTTTATTAATTAAAATTATAAATTTAAATGTTTTTTTTTTTTTTTTTTTTAGTCACATTAATCGCACCTATCTGGTTTGATGATTGACACCGTATTAGTCGCAGTTGTCTGTAGACTAAATTGGATTACGGACTATTATACCGATACAGCCCAGAATGATCTGTTTGTGTTTTTATCTTTAATAAATTGCGACCAATCGCCAAGATCGAACAATGTCTTTATTTTAAAAACGTTTTCTAAACATTATTGTACGCTTTCTGAACTCTATAGGAATAGGATGATGTACAAATAGAATTTGCACTCCTCTCTACCGTTAATTTGATATTATTTTGTTTTAGTGTATTGTCGGTCATTTTTTAATTTTTTTATTTGTGTGTTTTATTTCTTTAAGACTATACGATAATTATACATGTCATATTATATTTATTCACAAAAAATGAAGTATACATTATCTAATATGCAAATATTATGATATTAGTATTATAATCGTAGTTAAATGATTTTGAAATACAAAATTTATATAATATTCACACTTTATATTATTTATATAATTCTATAAATTGGGTACTTCACATGTACCTATAAAAACAAAATTCAATTTTTATGGAGCTTCGGTAAATCAAAAAATAGTATACATTTTAATATTGATGATTATGGTGTAATAATTAATTGTAAATTATAATAACAATTTTCGAGTTATTTAATTTTTCGATAAGACGTGATAAACTAATTAAACAAAATATAGGTATTTTTTAAACTGTGTTTATTACATATTTTATAATATATCTTTATTTTATACTATAGCTACGTGAATAGTATTATATATTTATTTTATATTCTATATTTTTAGTTACAAGCCAAACATTGTAAAACTTATGTTTAAACAATTATTTTTGAAAATATTAATTAATCATATCTTATGTTGTTATATAGCTTTACGTTTACTATTAGTATCAGTATTTTTCGTGAAGAAAAAAATCATAGAATATAATATAGTGCTATACTAATATAATATAGCGTTTCTAAGCAACGAAGAAAGTCGGTTGCAAACACAAAGTAGCTTGGGGTATATTATGTTAGATTCTATCACAGAATTATTAAAGCTATATAAATGAAAATATTGTCTTTATTGATATGTAATTTAAATACATCGTTAACTGTAATGAAATTTACTTGGCCGAATTGAAAAAAAAAAAATTTAAAAATGATTATTAATTTTTCAGACGCACACATATGAGTTCAGTTTATATCATTTAAAATGATTCTTTGCAAACAATATTTTGATTTTTTTGTACAGATTTTTTAACTGTAGTATTTTCTCATCCCTTTATGGAAGTTAAAATGGTAGAACAAGGTCAATAATTTATGCGAACAAAACATTTTAGTATTTTACTTAAATTGAATTGTAATAATATTATTTGACTATATATTTTAAATAATCAATTGTATTATTATTTAGAATGTGCAGTTTTATTTATCTTAATTGCTAGTTATTAAACGCTATGTTAATGAGTTGTAAATATATACTATGAAATGCATTTGTATAGTATTATTTTTACCTATTCTCAATTTAAAGTACGTTTTTGAGGTTTTATAATTAAAAATCATTAATTTTATTGGTTTATATTATTCGTTAATAGATTTTATATTTTTATGTAATTTAAATTTTATATACGTTTATATATTGCCCTTTTACTCATTTAATACATTTTTATTGAATGATTAAAATAGTAATAATTTTAATTTATTTTTTAATATACAAAATGCTAAAACAAATGATGGAGTATTTGCATAATAAAATATTATATCAATTAAATTTTTTTTTTTTTAAATTTAAAAAAGAAATTAATTGAAGTTAGAGGCATAGATGGATAATAATTTGTATAAATAAAAACTTTTTAATTCATTCAAAGTAAATTATAATATGGACAGAGTAATGAAATAGTTTGATACACAATATACTTACAAATTACAATTTAATGCATTTTGAAAGTACTTGTCATTAATTAAGAAAATAATTTTGCTATTTGCTCGTAAAGAATAGATATATTATTAAAACTTGTTGAACTTGCAGTTATAAAATATTGACACAACATTGAAGATTTACTTAAACATTATGAGAATACGAATAGTATACTACAATATGTATTAATAATGATGTGTCAAAAATAAACATTTTGTTTGTTTTTTCTGTTTATTTTTTTTAATCTTGTATACAAATATTCAATAGACTTTTAAGTTTTAAAATATTATTGTTGAATATTGGTAAATTAAAACCACATTATTTAAAAAATTTAATATCCATTATTCCGGCTGTTATACTTCATAAATTATTCATTATATAATATTTTTAGGTAAGTATTCTGTAGTACAGAAATTATATTAATGATAGGTACACTGCACACAGACTTTTAAGTGCCAAATATCAAAAAATACATCAAGGATCTATCGGTAAGCTTCTTAAGTCAATTATAAAAAACAAGTGGTCTACGATATTTTAGGCTGAATACCCATCCAAACAGCCACAAACTCCAACGTGGTCGTCCTAACGACGTCTTAAATCACTAATAACTAATTATTGTTGTATATGTACCTATATTTAATGTATAATTGTCAAATTGTTTCTTAATGTAAAAATTGTTATTATTCTGTACATTTTAAATCCAGTATTACTTATACCATGTGACCTGATTTAAAATTTTTTTAAAATTGTTTCTATACACTTAAGTTTATATGATGTATGTCAGAAAAACTTAAAAAAAGAAAAAAAAGAAAGAATAATAAATTACATATATTAGAGTATGGTATGATTTAAAATTATGTTATTTGTATTGAATTTTGAATTGATCATCAGTTACAGTTTTTCTAAATAATTTTGTAATTATATAAAAGCGACTATTAAGTGGGACCAAGCATCGACACATATGACATTGGTTTTCTATCACTTCCTAAATTTTTTAAATGGGTTCAAGATGTTTAAGTTGCTTATACAGGGCCCCATACTTTATAATAATTTTATAAACAATAACAATAATAAAAAAAAAAATTTAATGATTGACGTCCTCGAAAATACTGTTTTCTGTAACGTTTAAATTAGCTGCGTTTTCAAGTTTTCAAGCCACTCACTGATCAGCAGCAATGCACGTTTTTTTTATCAGTAATGTCTTTTTATAAACTCGTTTTTGGAGTAAATATAAAATATTACCACACTATCACGCCTAAAAAATAAAATAATAAATAATTAATATAATATAATATGCGTCAAAGGCGACGGTAAGCTATACTGTAAATTATTTGTCTCCGCATTAGTTTTACACGAAATAGACGAAATCGGTAGACAATAATATTATACTTGGCTGTTGTAATCAGAATTGTATTTATTTGGAACTATATTTTATAACATATAGAAAATCTGAAAATGTCTAGTTATCTATTCCCAGGACTATTGTTTGTAGATTGTTTTCTGAAAAATTTGATATTTTAGATTTCAATACTTACTCGTATCCTAAAAATATTTATTTTTTTTTACATGGATTATAAAATGCAGAATTCGAAATGTATGAATATCTATTTTTATTAAAACGTACTTGGTTTCTGTTAAAAACTGTAATGGTATGGTAGGATATCATTATTATCTCACGATTTGCTTGCCAGCTATGTCTATATATCATAATATAATATTTCGCAAGTATGATTCCACGAAAAATCATTTAAAAAAAATATTTTTTTGCATCTGGCGTAAAAACAATATTATAATAATAACAACCATAATAATTTAATATAATATAATGTATTAAGGCTTTCGAAACGTGGTTTATTTTGATATAATATCCCTTCCAGCTCCTCCGCGACACGATCGCGCAGTACATTACGAACCACTTCGGAACAAGGTCTGCTTATTTCTTCAGTGGGTGAAATACGACCAGACGCGGTGACGTTGTAAATATATAACAGTTATATTGTACAGATAATAACGTACAACGTTTACTATATATTGCATAATATAGGTATACTTAAAAGTTTGGTGGCTAATCGAATTTTCAGTTAAAAAGTTTTGTACATTTTCAACGACCCCGCAAACCTCCCCGCGAGAGTGTCTCGCGGGAGTCTATAGGTATATTTTATAACCTTATATGTAATATATTATGTATACCTAAACTCGACCACAAACGTGTTATTATAATTATCAATAGTGCATCATGGGCTTACATATATAGCAGATTATATATTATCATGTATTGAAATGATAATAGGATATAATATGTATGTGAGTGTTTTATTTAAAATAATATTTTTTATCTTACACTTGATACCTACATTTATATATATATATATACATAATGATTAATTTTACACAATAAACATATACGGCTGTATACTTTTATTCTATTTAGCTTATAATAAATACAATCGGAGTAATAAGACAAAGACGACACGCAAGAGCCTAACAATATTATGTTATCGTTAAATTAATCACGCTTATAGAAATGTGTAAACAAAATAAGATTTTTTGTGTTTAGTTATATTAATAATTTTGTATACATTTTATACATGTATTAATTTTATAATAATGTACGTTTCTTATTTTTGTGTTTAAAAGATACCTTTTTAAAAAAAAAAAGTCAAGTAGCAAAGTATACTCATTAACTTTGATAGAAGTTTTTGGTAGTAAATTGGATCTAGTTGGTAGTTTTGAACATTTCAAATTATCAGTTCTTTTTAAAATAATTAAGAAAAATTAAAAAAATAAAAAGTACAAATATCTTTTAAAATTTAAATATTACATTATAAACTCAACTCCTACTATCAGTAAAGTGGTTTTCTATTTTCCTCTTTTATTTTTTTAAAAATACAGAAATTTATCTAGAAAATTAATGCGAACGAATTCAAATAGATTGCTCCTTATATTATAGTCATTCCAATAAAGGAACAAGACGTGTAAAGACATTTATAATAGTATAATGTACTCGATCTTTGTCGTCAGTCATTAACACGAAATAATATACTCGAGGAGGAAAAACCGCCAATTTGGAATGTTCATTTTTCGTATTATCATTATTATATATTGTATAGGTGTATATCGTTGCGGTTTATACCTATTACACATGGGGACCGGAAACGAGGAAATTGGATGTACGCCCGTGTTATACACACGAATAGGGTATATTATATATTATAGCTATAGGCAGGTACATATTATTCTAATGGTTACGCACAGAGTAAATTGTCTTTCGTTTTCATAATATCATAATAAACAATAGTAATAATAATAATAAAAATAATAATAATAATACAATACCTAATGACGTCTCGATCCTAGTCTGATCTATAGTGTATAATATATATATATATATATATATATAGACTTAAATGACTGCGTACGTATATAATAATATTATTGTTGTCATCATAACGCCGTGTTTTTTATGTTGTACTAACAAATTGACAACTTCTTTAGCCATGTTCGTGTACAGTATATCGTTAAAACAACATTTAATTACGCATTTACGGCATTATGTTACAGTGTAAATATGTATTACTTAAATCAACAATAATGCACATTTGTGCAGATACTAACATTGACATAATATTTTACTAATGTTAAATAACATATTATACTAAATTAATGTGTTATGTCACACACAGTTGTAAGTAAATATCTAGTTAATTAATGAAAATAAATCAAAATATATAATTCATATTAAACGAATACCTCTTTTAATAATCATTAATAATAAATAGTTTGTATTTCATTATTGTTACAATCTCAGCCAAACACAATTGTAAATCATAACACTTTATAAAATACAGTTTGATTCATTATAGTATTATAAATTATAATAAACGTTATTATTTTTATAAATAATAGATTAAATTATATCCATAATTTACAAAGTTATTTTTTTAATAATTTTAAATTACTTTTTGTTTCAATTTACCATTATATTTTTATTTAAATTTATTAATATTTTTTATTTATATTTTAAAAAATAATAATATTTTTACGATAAATTTATATACCTACCTATTAACTCGTTCTTTATGTCCTATTTTACAGTAAATTATATTGTTTAAAACAAAAATAAAAATTGTTTGGTATATTTTGGCTATGCATATAATTGAAGGTCGTAGAGTAAGTTAGGTTAGGTTATAAAAATGTATCATAGATTTAACAACAATTTGTCTGAAATTCTGACGAGTTCAGATACTGCGAGTTACTCGATCTTATCGATTTGGGACACGAGTGTATATTAGTAGTGTTCTTACCTACTGCTGTGTCAAATGATACGTCATATATTATTACAATAACATTATTATTGTAGCAGTGTTCACGCCAGAGTGAATTCGCTTATACAGTAAACCGATCGAGGAAAAACATAGAAGGGTTAACTACAAACAAAACGAGAGCGTAAATTGGCCGCGGTCGCAGTAGCAACAGCAGTGCAGCACGCGCTCTGGACCGCCCCAGAGACGCACACTCCCGAGAAACTGTGTATATGTGTGTTTTAAACCCCTCGGACTACAGTCGTGACAATCAACTGCTGAGTGGGTGAGGGTGGGTAATCCCATTATAAACGGCTATATAAAGAGACAGACTGCAGAGACACGCGGATGAACCGATCGGGGATAGTGAGAGAGGGAGAGGGATACGGTGAAACGAAACGACGGGGGACATGTGCCTCGATTAAATCTTTATCCACTTATATTTTCATTAACTAAAACTTATTCCCAGGACGATCACCGATGCCACTGACTCCTGCTTTTTATACACACATTACATACACACATACAAATCTATGTACTATAATATATACACACACACATATATAAACCATTATCCTGCAATTCGGGACTCGCTAAAAGCGCGGCGATATAATATTATATATGGTGGGAAGGAATATTGGAAAACAAACGATTATAACCAACTTGTAACATAATTAAGGACGTACTCCTTATACCACAAGCTATATAATCAAGGATCATCAAATGATGGCACTCCATGTATACGAACATTGACTGCCCGCAGACAATATGATTATTTTTTTAAAATGATTTTCTTTGGCGGTTAATTAAATTAAGTTTTCATTTGTTTTTATTTTTGATCTCGCCTTTATTTTCTTTGGATAAACATGTGCATTATATTTTGATAACCTTGGAAAACTTCTTGAATTCCTGTATGGCCCTACAAAAATATTGATTATAAAACAATAATAATAAATATTTTTTCAACTAATATATTGTAAATAACTATTGACTGTATTTAGATATAATAGCTAATTTTAATTTGCTCACATCCATTAATAATTACTATATAAATCAATGATGCAAATTCATGTATTTTTATTAAAAATTGTAATAAAACATAGTTGAATATTAAATTATTAAATGTACCATTTCAGACCATTAGATAATAGCAATCATTTTTTGCTACAATTTTATAAATAACAATATATTAAATACTCAAAAATGTAAATATAATTTTGATTATCTTAATTTATTAATACCTTGTAAAGATTAATATAAGTAAATTAATTACTAAATGTAGATGATGTAAACGCAAATCATAATAACTTTAAAAATTATAAATTTAATCTACTTACCCCGTTAAAAAAAAAATAAAAATAGGGAAAAAAAAGGTTGATAGTAGTATTTTATTTTTAATGATTAACAAAGCAAAATTATCTAAACATTTAAGAACACAACTATTTAATCATTTGAAAAACAATATATTACTAAATGTTCAAACTTTATCAAAAGATGTATCTATAATAATAATTTTGGTACAAGCAATAAGTTTAATTGATGTTTTTTTTTTATTGCGATAGAAGGACAATTAAAAATAATATTATTTCTAGAAAATGTGTTAATATATATTGAGATTATCTACAAAATATCTGTTTAGTAAGTGATAGCATATTTTTAAGTTGTATAGATTAATTTAAAATTCCAAAATACATCAAATTAATGTACTTGTGTATTTTTTTTAAATATGTATATCACAGTTTTATCCTAAAAGAGGTATCAGCTACTACCTATATATTTTCCATTAATGCTATTAATCAGTCTATTCACATCATCAGATGTTTATCCTAAATTGTTTAAAAAATGTTTAATTTTACTAATTGTTAAGAATGTAATCATATTGGAATGTAATAACTACATTCATATATTCACTACTATAAATTATCATTATAAAAACCATTATAAAAATGTATTAAGTACCAACTAATGAGTTCCTTAGATAGAAATATATATTTTAACAAAAACTACTAAGGTTTTATTAACGATAAATCTACAAGTAATGACCAGTTTATTGTTAATGATTTTGTTCGTGAAAATCTTGATAATAAACAAGTTATTGGAATATTCTTTAATGTTAAAAAAAAGCTTTTTATTCAATATATTATAAAACAAATATTATAATTTGTAGAAATCTTGGCATTGTTTTTAAAAATAATGAGTTTAAACTCTTACATTTTCATTTATTAAACAAATTTAAATTGGTAAAAATTAATACATGTAGCGAATAGTAATCTATTAAAAGTAACCTATGGTTTATCACAAAACATAGTATTAGAAACTTTGTTGTTCTTGTTTATAAGTTTTATTAATGGTTTACTTAACTTAATAGTAAACGCTAAAACATTTTTCCTTGTAGATAATATAGTTCTATTAATTT